AGGTGGTGCAAGGTCAGTTACAACCCACCAGTGCCACCCAGGGAAGGTCCCGGAGGCTTCACGGATCTGAGGAGGGTTAAGGCTCCTCCTGCACATCTGGCAGAGCAGCAGCTGCACTGCCCTGATCCGTGTGTGAGGACTTGTTTCACAGCCAGGGGGTGGGAGGAGGTATAGGATCAGGGTTGGTTACAATGTGCCCTTCCAACTTTTATTGACTTCCTAATCTCTCCTTTAGAAAACTTGAAGAGGGAGGGAAATAGAGAAGAATTTTGCTGCGAGCCAGGCAGGACTGGTTTCCCCTCAGATCTACCCACTCCCATCCACATCCAAGGAGGGATCTCTTCTTACCAGTCAATCTTTATTTTGTTTTCCCTAAGAACATTTGTGAGAAATGAGAAGGTCTGGGAAGTCAAAACAACTGAGCTTACAATGTCCGTGTGTGCAACCTCACCCACCTGTCTGGTGAACCTACCACCTGAGCACAGCTTAAACCTCTGGCACTTAAACATGTGCCTAGGCTTGATTAATCAGGCTGTGTGGGATTAATCAAGGAAAGTGAATGAATCAAGTAAAATGAGTGTATAATTAAGGGTCTGGTTCACCTGAGGTGCTTTGTTCTGCAGCTGGTAAGGATACCAGTGAAGGACATCACATCACTTTGCACTCCCAGTGCAGAGGTTGAAATGGATTTTTTCTGCTCTTGGAGAGAATTGGTGCAGAATTAGAAGGGCCGAAGTTAAATCATCGGTTGGTCAGAAAAATACCAACATTACTGGATTAAAATCCATTGGCAGAACCTCCTGCAGCCCAAGGGATGAAAGGCACCACAGGCACAGTCCACATGGGAAGCAGCACTTCACAGGTCTGGAGAAAAAGGAGCTTGGAAAGAGCAGAAAGAGAAGGATAAGAGTGAAAGAGTAAAATGAGAACCAATGAAAGAGACAGCAGTAAAACCTGCATCTGTTGTTTAATCCTGGGGAAATACCCAGCTTAGTGACATCAGTTTCTGCTGGTGATTTGGGGCTTACCCTGGAGCCAATGTCTCCCAAGGCTAATGCAGCTGTGAGACAGCCCAGTGCAAAGCACCACCAAGGATTTAGCCCAGCTATGGCTGTTCCTGGACAAGACAGGCATTAGGCAAAATCAGTTTGTATGGAAAAGTTGCTTTGCCAGCCCCTGTGCTCATAAAAAATGAAGCTGGCATGAGCTGGCAGAGCAAGGGAATTCAAGTTTCACAGCTGCTCTTCACAAATTGTCACATCATTCTGAAATCACTCAGGGCTTTGATGGGCTTTGGAGCTCATGAAGGCTAAACATGGACACTGGCTCTTATTTTCTCAGTGTTTTTTCACCCCAGACAGCTGCCAACTCACTGCCCCACAAGGGCTGGGTCTGCTTCATAGAATCATGTTCTATGAGGAAGGACTGAGGGAGTTGGGCTTGGTCAGCCTGGAGAAGAGGCTCAGGGGTGACCTCCTGGCTCTTCCCAACTCCTGCCAGGGTTGGAGAGAGGTGGGGGATGTGTGTCCTGCCATGGCTGCAGGGAGAGGACTAGAGGGAATGGCCTTGAGCTGAGCCAGGGCAGAGTCAGATTGGATGTGAGGAGAAATGTTTTCCCTGTTGTGGTGTTCAGCACTGGGATATTACCCAGGGAGTGGTAGAGTCACCATCCCTAGAGGTGTTTCAGAGGTGTCTGGATGTGGCACTGGAGGATCTGGTTTAGGGTTTAGGGGTTACAGCAGTGACAGGTTAATGGTTGGACTTGATGATCTTAGAGGTCTCCTCCAACCTTGATGATTCTATGATTAAGGTTGGAAAAGACCTCCAAGACTTTCAAGTCTAATCTTTGACCAATCACCACTGGACCAGAGCACTGTGTGCCATGTTCAGTTGTTTCTTAAACACCTCCAGGGATGGTGACTCCACAACCTCCCTGGACAGCACATTCCAATGCTTAACAACCCCTTCCATGAAGAAATTCTTCCTGATGTCCAACCTGAACCTCCCCAGGCACAGCTTGAGGCCATTTCCCCAGGTCCTGTCACTATTTTGACAACCCCCAAGTGTGAAAGTAAAGTTTTCTCACTTTCTATAAAATACTAACAAATACAATCCATGCAGAAAAAAAAAAGACTTATTTTTGACTCTGTGTTTGACTAGGTCAGCCCTCCAGAAACACCCAACCAGCCTTTCACCTGATCCTGCTGTGGAGGTCATGTTCCTCTCTTAACCCATTGGGAGCAAAGCTGTAAGGTGAGACATTTTCACACAGCTGTTGATGTTCTTGCAGATAAATGTGTTAGGTTACTGTTGGTTCTGCCACTTGCAAAGGAAGGGAATGCTGCTCTGCAGCAGGGAAAGTGTCACAGAGCACCAGGGGCACCTGCTGGGAAAGGTACATGGAAAACATGACGCTGAGCAAGTGAGGCTAATTAACACTGGGTGCTTAAATTAGAAAGCTTTAATGGCTGGTGTTTAAAAATAACACCTTAATGACATCTAAAATTAGCTGCTGCCAAGTCCCAGAGTGTTCTGACCTCCATTAAATTGGGGGTCCCTTTCCCCTGGCTGGTGGTGTAAATCACATGTACCTTTTATATCCTGTTCTCCCCAGGATTAGCTGCAAGGAATCGTGCCTGACCTTGAGAGGCTGTTTGCAACCATGCAAGAGTCACCTGGAGCTCTGCGCTGAACAGGGGGAAATAGATGGATATCATGTGTGGGATGAGTAATTGGAGAGTATAATCTCAGGTCATGCTCATCTGCAGACATGAACAGGGAAAAGTACTGAGGGAGTGAGGGATTTTCAGACCAGGCAGAGACCAGGGATGTGAGAGGTGGTGCTAGGGACACAGGAGACCTGAGCTCCATTTCCATTGTGTGACCTGGGTAGGTCCCTCATCATCCTGCTGTGCCCCAAAGTCATGTCTATATCTCCCTGATCCTGGAGGAGTGTGACCAGGATAATGTCTCTAAGATGTGTGATATGCTTAGATCCAACCAGGTCTCTCACAGGAAACAAACAGTAAGAGGGAAAATACTGCTGATTTTTCCTAATGTTTAATATATTAAAGAAGGGCCTTGACGGGAAGACTTGAGAGGCTGAGGGCACTTGGTCTGTTCAGCTGGAGGAGACTGTGGTCAGACCTCACTGCTGTATACAACTTCCTCACAGAGGGAACTCCAGGGACAGCTCTGATCTGTGTGACCTGTGACAGGGACAGGACATGAGGGATCAGATGGAGCTGTGTCAGGGGAGGGTTAGGTTGGATATCAGGAGAAGGTTCTTCCCCCAGAGGTGTTTGGGCACTGGAACTGCTCTCAGGCTCATAATGCATTGTTGGGGTGTCCTGGGCAAGAGTTGGACTGGATGATCCTTGTGGGTCCCTTCCAACTCTGAATATTCTGTGACTCTTTGATATAAACCAAACCCAAAGAATCTGGAAGGCAAACAACCATTGAGGACTTCTGGAGATCCTGCTCATGGTGGGAACAGAAATAAAGCATCTCCAGTACTGCTAAAGAGAACCATTTGCTTATTTTTGTTGTGTTCCTCTGTGCTGTGCTGGGGCCTAACCTGTGGCCTGTCATATTTTACAGTAGTGACAGGTTAATGGTTGGACTTGATGATCTTAGAGGTCTCCTCCAACCTTGATGATTCTACAATGGTGTGATATCCCAACACTCTGTGACAGCTGAGAGAAATCTGCAGCCTGAGCTTCCCTGGCAAAATGCAGAGAGATCCTGTGACATCTACCTGGAACAACGATTTTTTAACATAAAACTCTCTGCACTTGTCTTGCTACTTGCAAATGAGGCAAAACTACTTCAACAAACACCTTATTTTTCTTTAAGCATTAATACATTATGACTTCCTGGCAGGGGATTGGGAATAGATGTGAGGTCCATTCCAACCCCTTAACCTCCTATGAAACTGTGAAACACTTAGGCTTTCTTCTACAAACAGGAGCTCAGCACATACATAAGTCTTGGCAGAATTGGAGCCTAAACTTGTTTCTGTTTTTGAATTCCAAGCTGGATTTTGATGCAACAGTTCTTTCATATATGAAACTCTCAGGTTTCTGCCCACACACATCATGCATGATGCAGAACAGACCTTGCCAGGAAGCCACTGGGAAAGGCCACTGAATCTGGATTTATACTGAAGGAAGAGTTACTGTTCCTTGCTTTGCAGCCTGGATTTATGCAGGACCAATCTGTGAAGGTGTTGCCCCGCAGAAGCTCCATGATGCACATCTGGTCTCACCCACAACCCAAAATCATAAGCTGAAACTGCACAGACACTAATGAAAATGATTCCCCTTTGAGTTGCTTTGTTAAAACCCAACCTCAAGGAACTCTGGCAAGTCAGGAAAGAGACTTTAATCCAATACTTGTTCTCCTCTTCCACAGCTTTTAAATCACTCCCTTTGCTTCCTACTTTGAGCAAATACACGTGTGTTGTTTTCCTAGTCCTGCCATGACCTTCTGGGAATGTTTTCATCGTGCAAAGCAACTTGCAGTTCCCTATTTGATAGATCTCCCTCATTCCAAGTGTTAACACTAGCTAATTCTCTGCTTTAGGAAGGAAATCCTGTTTGGGTTTTTTGGGTTTTTTTTGAGGAACCTGCTGGGAAGAGGAATATTTGCTTTTAAAATATTTTTTTCCCCCGTTTCATAAATTGTCTTGAGTTCTCTTCCCAGTGGGCAGCAGGAGGCTGTTTGTGTAAGGGAAGAGGGAAGTTGCTTTGCCATTATTCCCACAAGAGCAGGATTAACAGCACTAATTATGCTAATCACCACACTAACCACGCTTGGAATGCACCTTACTGGCTGGAGAGGCAATGCATTTGGGTACTAATTAACTCCTTTTTCCCTCAATTCCCTTTTATTAGGAGAGCAGGAGGTGCCAAAGAAAAACAGCTGCACATCTTCCAAGCAAAGCCAGTGTTTCCTGAAGGAATTCGAGCGGAGGTGCCTTATGAAGGGCAAACAGTAACATGGCAAACTCAGCCCTTGAGTTACTTGGCTTCTCCCTGAGTTTGCTCGGCCTAATCGGGACGTTAATTGCGACTATCCTGCCGCACTGGTGGCGAACAGCACACGTAGGCACCAATATTATCACAGCTGTGGCCTATATCAAGGGGCTGTGGATGGAGTGTGTCTGGCACAGCACCGGCGTCTACCAGTGCCAGGCTCACCGCTCCCAGCTGGCACTGCCCCCTCACCTCCGAGCTGCCAGGGCCATGATGGTCACCTCCTGTGTGCTCTCTGTGCTGGCAGGTGTGCTCGCAGTCATTGGCATGCAGTGCACGGAGTGTGCCAAGGGGAGTCCTGCCAAAGTCTCCATCGCCGTCTCCGGGGGCGTCGTCTTCATCCTGGCTGGGTTTCTTTGCCTTGTCCCCGTGTCTTGGACCACGAACGATGTCGTGATGGATTTCTACAACCCTGCGCTGCCCAGTGGGATGAAGTACGAGCTAGGGCAAGCTCTTTACCTTGGCTTTGTCTCAGCTTCTCTGTCCATCCTGGGTGGGGCTCTGCTGTGCACGTCTGGCCCATGCTGCGAGGATGAGGCGCCGTACGCGCCTCCACCTGGGAGCATGAGGACTGCCCCCTCCTACAGACCACCAGCTGCCTACAAGGGAAACCATCCTTCCTCCATGACATCTGCTTCCCACAGCGGCTACAGACTGAGCGACTACGTGTGAGTTCCCGCGAATTTGCAGCTGCTCCAGGATTTCTGCGCACGGCAGAAAAGCCAAGCGGAGATAACTCTGAATTTCTAAGGGTTCTGCAACAAAGTTTGCCATTGTGCCTTTCTTCCTTTCTTTCATAAAATCAGAGAATCAACCTGGTTGGAAAAGACCTCCAAGATCATCGAGTCCAACCCTACCGTGGTCACTAGACCATGGCACTAAGTGCCACATCAGTCTCAGCTTGAAAACCTCCAGGGATGGTGAATCCACCACCTCCCTGGGCAGCACATTCCATTCTTTCTGGAGAAGGAAAGGATGTGAACACAAAGCTGCTGGCTGCAAAAAAACCACCTTGGGAAAGGAATATAAAGGAGGCTGTGATATTCCTGAGGCAGCACAAAGCTGTTTCCCTTGAGTTCTGCAGGTAGTTCCAGGGCAGTTTTGCTCACAGTAATGATTTGTTTTGTAGCTCGTGCCCAGCACTGAAGCAGAACTGGCCACAACTTGTTGTTTGAACCGTGTTCCAACAGTTTTGCCTAAAACCTGGGACTTCATGGGAGAGACAGTGATTTTCAGCACTGATTCCCTGCTGGGTTTCTCCTTTCCCTAACTCATGAATGTCTCATTATGACAAGGTATTAATTTTGCTTTGACTTACCTTTCTGTTTGGTTTTTTTATAGCTCCTTGAAATGTGTACTTCAATAGCATTCTGACATGTATTTGACAGGCTGTTCTGGCCAATATTTTAAGTCTTACTACAATGTTTTGACCTTCTCAAAATAAAATTTCAGGGCATTTTTGAAATGCAGCACAAGGGAAATAAACCATCTCAGTGGGTCAGAACTCGGTGTTTTGCAAACGTCAGGGATAGAACTAAACTAGACAGTTGGTGTTAAACATTTGTTTAAAAAATTAAAGGGACAAAATATCAGGATTTGTCACTGAGTAGGTATTTAACTTCTGAGCACATTTAGCATCCTGTGCAATATATGCATTATAGAGATTGGAAAACAGTTTCTAGGATCCTATTCCCAAATCCTACACAATGAAAAGTACTCATTTCTTAAGCTCAGTCCTGCTAATTGTTGCCTGAAGGTTCATTAGAGTTACAAGGATATTTCCATCTCCTCCAGAGGCGTTTGAGGAACTTCCATCCAGCCAAGATTTGGCACACAAGGGAATCTCCATTCCTCTCATGCATTATGACCATTGCCTGACAGGAGTATCAAATCAAAACCTTTCCTTCTGAAATGCTTGCAAAATTCCATCATTCCACAGTGTGTGCAGACAATTAAACATCCAAACAGTGAACAAAAAGCTCAGCCCTCTCCACTTCACCTTACAGTGAAAGTCCCAGGCAACACATACTATATGGTATAAAACCACCACTAAAAAGAAAAGCACACATTCCTGTTAACCTCAGAATGTTTTGGGTCTCCCCAGGGGAAAATATGGAACAACACACTGAAAAAACCCCCAACAATTCCAAGACCTGTGAAGCAACTACTCTTTGGCAAAAAGAGTGTTGGCAATTATCCTATCACCTTGTAGCACCTACAGAGCTTGGAGCTTTCCAGCATTGCCCCTGGTTTCACTCTGAACTTTCCTGTTTGTGGCTGATCACCTTTGCCATTGGTTTCAGGCTGATTGGAATTGTGACAGAGTTTTTCTGCATTGATGGAAGTTAACATCAGAACCAGTTTGGAATAACAAAATGGCATTTCTAAGTGATTTGCTGAGACCAACAGGAATAAAAAGGATCTGGGATGAGGCTTTGGTGGTTCCTGGTGGTGCAGTGACAGGACAAGGGGGAATGGATTTAAGATGGACAAGGATAGGGTTAGATTTGATATTAGGGAGGAATTGCTCCCTGTGAGGTGCTGAGGCACTGGCACAGGTTGCCCAGAGCAGCTGTGGTTGCTCCATCCCTGGGAGTGTTCCAGGCCAGGCTGGAGCAGCCTGGGCTGGTGGGAGGTGTCCCTGCCCAGGGCAAGGGGTGGAACTGGATGATCTTGAAGGTCCTTCCAACCCAAACCATTCCATGATTCTATGATTCTATAACTCTATGATCCCATAAATCTATGATTCCATAACTCTATGATTCCATGACTGATCAATAACAGCTGATCAGAAACTCATGTTTTATTAACTTTATCTATTACATTTGATGTGGAAAGAAATCATTAGAGAAACTTCACTGAGGCAGCAAAAACCTTAATAGCAGAGTCTGAGGTGCAAGGAATGGACAGAAACTGCTTTCACAATGGCTTCTTGTAGAGGATGGACACAAACTGTTCATAGTCCATTACAGATTTTCTGGGATGCCTTTTCAGGACCAAATTTAGCCCAACAAGGTGGTTAATTACATAGGGTTTTCCTGTATTTACATTGCAGTAGATCTCACCAAATGATTAGATATCAACCTGGACAAGGCCCTTGGACAGCCATGAATGCTGGAGCACAAGGCCAAGTGCAGGAAATGGGTTGGTGTGTCATTAGGTGGTGTGTTTGCTACAGGCTGATAAATGAACTCACTTGCCAAGAGGTTTTGTGCTGTGGGAATACCCATGTATAGTGCTATTCTTACTGCACAGAGTCCCAGCCAAGCAGGATGTGTGACAGGAGTAAGAAAGGTTTGCAAAGTCCTGGCAAAAATACCTGGAAGCGCTTGGATGTCAATAAAGAGAGGGAAATGGTTTCTTTCACAGGGGTTTGTGAACAAGTGGATCTTGTTCTTAGCTAAAAGTGGCAGAAATGTCTGGTTTCTTTCTTCCTTTTTCCTTTCCTTTCCTTTCCTTTCCTTTCCTTTCCTTTCCTTTCCTTTCCTTTCCTTTCCTTTCCTTTCCTTTCCTTTCCTTTCCTTTCCTTTCCTTTCCTTTCCTTTCCTTTCCTTTCCTTTCCTTTCCTTTCCTTTCCTTTCCTTTCCTTTCCTTTCCTTTCCTTTCCTTTCCTTTTTCTTCTTTCTTCCATCTTCTTTCTTCTTTCTTCTCCCACCAGCCCAGGCTGCTCCAAGCCCCATCCAACCTGGCCTGGAACACTCCCAGGGATGGAGCAGCCACAGCTGCTCTGGGCAACCTGTGCCAGTGCCTCAGCACCTCACAGGGAGCAATTTCTCCCTAATACCTAACCAAAAGCTCTGTCAGTGTGAAGATGGTTTGTGCCTGGAGGAATGATGGGCAAGGGTAGAGGTTTCTCTTCCTTGGCTGCCTTAACCTGCTGTGCAGGGTGAGAAATATGTCCCTTTCCACTTGTTACCTTAAAAATTTTCCATATAGGCTCAGCCCATGTGTTCTTTTTATCCACATTTCCTATTCTTACCACTAAATGGGTCCTGGTGATCCCCAATTTAATTCAGAGCATCCTCTCCAATTTTTGTGCCCATGACATGTTTAAACATAATGAGGTTTATCCTGCCCAAGCATAAAGCAGAGTAGCTCAACTGAAGTGGTTTTACCCCTTTCTTCACAGTAGATCTAGATGAGGCGTTCCCTTCCCTGAGAAACCTGCAGTGTGTTAGACAGTTCTCCATGAACTCCATTTGAATGGGCTTAAAATGCTCTAAAGAGGAGAAAGGAGGGATATACCTCCCTTCCCTCCCTCCCTTTTTCCTGGGGGAAAAGCTTGTTAATTTTATTTTCTGCTTTAAGCACATGAATTTCATTAGCTCCCACCTAAAAGATCTTTGGTAAGCAAAGTGTTAGCAAGCAGAGTGAATAAAAAGAGTGAATCAATGCTCAGATTTGATCTGTTAAGAGCATATGTATATACTTCAGATCTGTGTGCGGGGGTATAAAATGGTGAAATTCTGGCTTGATTGACTTTCTTGAGGTCAGAATTTCACACATAAGCTTGTTATTCTTGTCAATACTCCCAAATCTATTAGAGAGCTTTTAACTAAAAGGCCTCCAGAGCAAAGAGAATCAAAGTCAGGGGAGTTTTGTCCCCACAGGAGGGACAGCAAGGAAAGGCCACTGGTGGCCATTTCACAAAGTGTTTGGTATTAAGCAGCCATGGGATGTGTGGGGGACTTCTCCCTTCCACTCCAGTCAAGGACACTCCAGTTTAGTTTTAAATTGTCCTAATCACTGGTATTGATCCCCACACCCTAATGGGGGTATGTGCCCTTGAATCCATATGGCTATCACCACTTCCCAAGCAATTCCAGCTCAATTAGGCTGCCTTGCTAATGCATGGGATCTTCATCTCACTGCTCTCAGGGCTGATGTGTGAGGAAAGGCCACACTGCCAGGCAATCCCACACTTGCACTCTGCAGGGAGCTGCCTGTTTGCTTTATCTGGTCACATCTTAGAGGGCTAAGAGCTTGTTCCATGGAAAACAGGGGAGAGAAAAAGTCAAGGAAGTATTAATCAGCCTTGGAAAACAGTTAGAACTCAATTGCTGGTGCAAAGAATTGATGATGCTTTCAGTATTTCGACAACAGGTGGATTTTGAGGCAGATGGGAAGCATTTGGGGTTGTTCAGACTGGAGAAGAGAAGCTATGAGGTGACCTCATTGTGGCCTTCAGTGCCTGAAGGAGCTACAGGAAAGATGGAGAGAGACTATTGACAAGAGATGGAGGGACAGGACACAGGGAATGGCTTTCCACTGTGAGAGTACGGTTAGATGGGATATTCTGCAGTTGGAGAGAAAATAACACTGCAAGGAGAGGATCAGTGTCTGTACAGGCACTGCTCTAGAGGTGTCTGGCAACCTCCTGTCAGGGATCTGTAGAGGGTGATAAGGTCTCCCCTGAGCCTCCTCTTCTCCAGGCTGAGCTCTCCCAGCTCCCTCAACCTCTCCTCATGTGACTTACTCTCTATATTCTTCCCCAGCTTCACCAGGAAACACCCTCTGTGTCCAGGACAGAGGCAGGGATTGAGTCTGTATCCCAGCTCCATGGGCAGCTCCATCCTCCCTGCCAAAGGAAAAGCATATTTCAGAAGAGGATGAGCTGAATTATCTGCTACATCTGATTTAAACTTCACTACATCCATGGGAGCCAACTCCAC